AAAAGCCAACATGATAAGTTCATGTTGGGTATTTATTTGACTTTCTTTTTTTTCTATTTTTTTTTTTTTTCTTGTTAGAGTCTAGGTATGTACTTGCTGGAAAGAGACAGAGAGAGTAGGTGAGAAATTGAGAAATTACCCCCAGGGAGCACAGCCATGTTGCAGATCCTTTTCACCACTCTCCTTTCAGAACCCTGGGTATGCACGCACATGTGCTTGATGTGATATTCAAGCTGCTGGGTCTGGGACTTGAACCATGGTCTGCCATGTGGGAATCCAGTGCCTTAACCACCACACCACCTGCCAGTCCCTCTTTTATTTTTTCTTTGCCATAGGAGAGAGAGGGAAGTGAGAAATCACCCCTTGGGGAGGAGCCCACGCAGCAATCCCTTCTCCTCCAGCCTCCTCTGGGGATTTTGGGCATGTATGCATGCATGCCTGGCATGTTTTTGAAGCTGCTGGGTCCAGGACTCACATTGCACCATTAGCCGTGTGGGAGCCAGCTGCCTTAACTTCCTTGCTACCTGTTGGCCCTTATTTGCCTTTCTTAAGCAGGTACATTAACTTTTAAAAAAATGTATGACATTTTGTTTCTTTCTATTTCTTTCAAGTTGTGAAAGTGATTTGGAATTTATAGGAGGCTGATCCCGACTCTACCAACTCTGCTTCATTAGGTCAAAGGCTTATGGTTCTGTTTTCAGAAGGAAGGACAGACAGACTGAAACAGCAAGCAAGTAAGTGTCAAGACCCAGCTGGATGGCCGGAGCTAGACAATCCAAGCTGACCTACGTCAAGACTTGCAGTCATCCTGGAACTCCACCTTAGTTTATTTATTTATTTATTTTTTTGGAGAGGTTTTTGCTACAAGGAACGTGCATTCACCAAAGAGACAGAGAGAGACAGAAAGTGAGAAATCACTCCCCAGGGGGGATGGCCATGCCGCAATCCCTTCTCCTCCATGCTCCTCTTGGGATCTTGGGCACACACACACATGTGCCTGGCAGGTGTGAGTTTAAGCCACCGGGTCCAGGACTTGAACCGCGGTCGACTGCATGGGAGTTCAGCGACATAGCCATTACGCTAACTGCTGGTCCCTCCACCTTAGTTTAGACTGCTTCAGGTTATGGTTTTTAAACTCCAGAAAGGGGTATGACTACATGCTGTGCTACAGGCCCTGTGAATGTCTTAAAAATTGAGAGAGCATAATAACCAGACCATAAACCAGTTTAGAGTTTCTATTTGAGTCAAAATATAAATACTTCTCAGGAGAGGCATAGCTTTAATTGTTCTGTGATGACTATGCATTTCTAGAAATATCACAATGAAAAAACACTATATTCAACCAATGTTTACTGAGGACTTATGTGGCGGACACTTGTACACATAGTATCTATAATTAATCCTTAGAAAAATGTGTAAAGAAGATATTTTTATTTTTTAAATTGTCATAGAGATGGAGAGAGGAAAGAAGCACCCCTCAATGGGACACGATCACACCACCACATCTGCTAGCCCCCAAATGGTTGTAATTTCTGCTTCCATGTGCATGTGTATTCTTTTTACTGTTGTTGACTCATTGTATCTAACTAGTGGAGCTTGTTAAACCCTTACTGGCTGTATGGAACTGCACAATTACTGACATTTTCTGAGCCTATTGTTCCTTACATGTAAAGTGAGGATACTGACACTATAACAGCTGTCTTTACTCTGAGATATGCCTAAGCTCTGGAGGCATGTCTTAGTTCATTTGGGCTGCTATAACAAAAATATAGACTGGGAAGCTTCTAAACAACAGAATTTTATTTCTCATAGTTCTAGACATTAGGAAGTCTGAGATCAAGGCACCAGCAGATTCAGTATCTGGTGAGGGTCTAATTCTTGGATTGTAGACTGCTATATTTTTCCCCTGTGTCCTCATTTGGTGGAAGGGACAAGAGAGAGCTCTTGGGCAATTTTTTATTAAGGGCATTAATTCTAATCAGAAAGACTTACCTCATGACCTAACCAAAGGTCCCAGCTCTGAATATCATAATTTGGGGGGTTAGGATTTAAATGTAGAAATTCGGGGGAGAAGTCAATATTTAGTCCATAAGAAGGTGAATAAAGTATTTCTAAGGGTTATGAGTTCAGCTGATGGCTTAAAGGGAACCAATTTTCAAATCCTCAACTCCCTTTATTTTATTTATTTATTTTTTTAAGAGATGTTTGCTATAGGGTGTGTGCACTTGCCAGAAAGACAGAGAGAGACAGAAAGTGAGAAATCACCCCCCAGGAGGAATGGCCACACCGCAATTCCTTCTCCTCCATTCTCCTCAGGATCTTGGGCACGCTTGCACACGTGCCTGGTGTGAGTTTAAGCCACTGAGTCCAGGAGTTGAGCCGTGGTCGACTACATGGGAGTTCAGCGACATAGCCATTATGCTAACTGCTGGTCCCTGTACCTGCATTTCTTACCCATGGTACATTTAAAGTCACCTTTCCTCACTACACTCCACCATTCTGCTATATAGTGAGCTGTTAAGAGCAGTGCCTCTAAAACCCACCAGGCTAGGATCAAGTTCAAACACTGCCATTTAACTACCTGCGTGTTGAGTAAGTCACTTAACCTCTTTTTGATCCAACTTCCCCATCTTTGAATGTGTATAAGAATAATAGGAACCTTGTAGAATTGTTTTTAGGACTAGTGAGATGGCTTATAGGTTGTGTGGTAGGTAGCAGGCTTCTTTCCCACCCAAAGATACCCGCTGAAACCTGCGACTATGTTATCTTACATGTCAAAAGCAGTTTTGTAGATGTAATTCAATTAAAGATCATAAAACAGGGAGATTTTTCTGGATTATCCCATGGACCTAACATAATCATGGGGTCTATAAAGGTGGGAAGGAGGAGGCAGGAAATTTGGAGTCAGAGTGATGCAGTGTGAGGAAGACTTCAGGGCCCATTGCTGGCTTTGAAGATGAAGGAAAGGGCTGTGAACAGAGGATGGGGCAGTTTTCAGAAGACGGAAAAGTTCATGAAATTGATTCTTTCATGGAGTGTCCAAAAAGGATCGCAACCCTCTGACATCTTGATTTAGCTCAGGGAGGCCCATTTCTGATTTCTGACTTGCAGAACTGTAAGATAATAACCTTATGTTGTTTTAAGCCACCATATTTGTGGAAATGTGTTACAGCAGCAACAGACATGAATACAGGTGGATTAGCCATTACTATTTTTTTTTTTGAGAGGTTTTCACTATAGGGCATGTGCGCTCACCAGACAGACAGAGACATAGGGACAGAAAGCGAGAAATCACCCCTCAGAGGGGATGGTCACGCCACAATCCCTTCTCCTCCATTCTCCTCTCGAGATCTTGGGCACGTATGCACACACGCCTGGCGTGAGTTTTAAGCCACCAGGTCCGGGACTCGAACCGCGGTCGACTACGTGGGAGTCCAGTGACATAGCCATTACGCTAACTGCTGGTTCCCAATTAGCCATTACTATTGTATTTACAACCTTCTTCAGTTCTGGCTTTTTGTCACAGGGCAATCCAATCTTAATACTGCTGCAAAATAAAAATGAATCTTTTCGCCCAGGTGCATACTATTTTTCAGTGTTTTGAGCCTTAGCTAGCTACTCTATTTCAAGGCAACTACCTTTTAGTAGACTCCATTTTCCAACAAGGGACAATAGACAAGAGACCTTCTAAGGTAAACTGCAAGGCAATTTAGAACATCCTCTTCCATATGTGTTTCCACTCATGTATGGAAACTTACATGATTTAATCAGCCTGTGCAATGATTAGCTCACAAAAAGCTTGCTGTAGGGGCTAGCAGATGGCCTAGCACTCACATCACTGGACTCCCACATAGCTGACCTAGGGTTGGAGCCTCAGTGGCTTGAAACTCAGGCAGGGTGCCTGTGCATGGGTGCCCAAGATCCCGCCAGGGGAATGGAGACTAAGGAACTGCAGCATGGACATCCCTCCTGGGGGTGGGGGGTGATTTCTCACGTTCCCTCTCACTGTCTCTCTCTCTCTCTTTGGCAAGTGAGAGAAAAAAGCACGTTGTGAGGTCCCATTTAAAAAAAAAGTTTACTCTGAATTACAGTTTCTCTCTCTCTCTTTTTAGCAGGAGTTCCTAGGCCTAACAAAAAGATCCTGGGGTAGGAGTTAACCCTTCAAGGCCCATGGGAATTAGAGCACTTGGACCAGAAATAATGGGAATGAAAAGAGGAAAAGAAATTGGTAGGTCAAAGTAAAGCTGGAAAGAGAGAACAGCAAAAGAATACACAGTCCAGCCAAATAATGGGAAATGAATGATGGCCTCCTACAATGGAGTCTTCCTGCGTTCTTGCTCTAGTTTCAGAAACTTTCCTCAGATTCCAATGAGGCACACCTGCCCCTTGCGGTTAGGCCTGGCTAGAGAGCCTGGGGCAAGCTGGGAATGTGGTTCCTGAAGAGTTGCCCTGGTGGCGGGGTGGCGGGGAAAACGCAGGGAGGAGTCCTTGGGCGTGAAAACGGAAAGACTACATCTCCCAGGCCGCCCCGCTTTCCAGCTGGAGTCCTCCTGTGCTGACTGCTCCAGTTTCCGCAGGGAAGCGTCCGGCTACCGCAGCTATTGTGCATGGAGCTCTCGCCATCCTCTTCCCGCTCGATTGTCTATAGAGGAAGGGTACGTTTCATTGCCACCCAAGTTTAACCCTTCCGGCGCTTAACAGGACAGCAGTCCGATCCCCTTGCACTAGAAAGAGCTCTTAGCAGGCGGCAGGCACTGGTAAAGAAACCAGAGGGTTCAAAGAAGACAGCTGGAGAAGGAGCGCGAGTGCTCCGGCTTGAAACTCGGACTTCACGGGGCTGGACAGAGGCGTTGGCTTTAAGGGGGAGGGGGAAGTGTAATCAGGGTTGCTCGCTGAGTTCCGTGTAGGAAATGTTCTGCTAGCTGGGGGAGCTAGGAGTCAGCAGGAGAGGCAGCGCCAGCCCCCCCGCCTACACCCTGGGCGGGCCGAAGTGTCACGTTTACAATTGCTTAGGAAGGATCCGGCCCTTCTTCAGAGGCGAGCGGGGCTGCGGTTTCTGCTGCTTGTCAGGGAAGGCTGTGTCTGGGGGCATGCTGCTTGCTAGGCAGCTCCAGGTCCGGATTCTACTGCATTAGTTAGTTCTCCTTGTCGTCTGAAGCAATCGCCCGGCCGCCGGCTCCCTGTACAGACCAGCCAGAGTTCCCCAGGAGTCTTCTTGGAAGAGGTACCTGCCCTCTACGGGGTGAAAGGGTACGAGTTTCCTTAAGAGGGTCTAAAGCTCAGCTGACCCCGTCTACCCACCCTCCTGTGTCACTGATGCGGTCTTTGTGTCTTTCCTTTCTCTTCCAGCCCCCAACATCAGAACCATGGGGCATCCCCCGCTGGAGTTCAGCGACTGCTACCTGGACAGCCCCGATTTCCGGGAGAGGCTCAAATGTTATGAACAGGAACTGGAGAGGACCAATAAATTCATCAAAGATGTGATAAAAGACGGGAACGCGCTTATCAGTGCTATGAGAAGTAAGTGGAAGGCTTCCCTGAGTTGTTTCCCTGATAGGGTGGCTCTGGCCTTTCACCATTCCCACACTGCAGGGAGAGGGAAGATTCAGAGTAACTTCTAGCCCAGGTCCCTAAGGCCAATGGATTTTGGGCTGGAGTGCAGTCAGTACAAGGGGAAAGTGACAGATAAACCAGAACTTTGGGCCTTTCCCTATAATGGCCTTTATCTATAGCTGTGCTAGGGACTCTCTTGCTCTGCAATTACCTCTGCTTGGCAGAGAAGGGGCAGTCAGTATAGTCAGACATGTTAAGTATCCCCAGTTGGGGCAGGGTAACATCTAAACTGATGGAAAAAGTGACCCAGCACCTCCTTAAAGAATTGGAATTAAGGCCAGCAACTTTAGTAATAATTTTGTCCTAGCATCTGGTTGCTACAGATAAAAATGGTGGCAGTAAAAACATTCCCCTTGGCAACTTATTTTCTAAGCAAAGCACCTTTGCCCTAGTGATTTTTTTTTTCTTTAAAATACTGAGCTATGGTTAGGTCAGGGTTAGCCTACTGCCCAGGATTATTAGATGACTTCACATGCCACTGAATTCTGCTTGTGTTTGCAACAAAGACCCGCTTACTCCCTGGCACAAGGAGCTGAGTCCCCTGGGAATTGAATAGAGGACCAGGGTTGCGGCCACTGTACAAAAGGAATCTCACCTAACTTGGTTTTTCCAGTGGTCATAGCTGACTCAGCTGTGGAACACTTCTTCTCTCCCCTTCTGTGTGTGGGGGTTTTATTTCTGCTGGTTGGCAGGAGGCTTTGGAGTAAAACAAAGAAGAATAAACATCCTTTAATGAGAGTATAGGCAAGCCAACTCCTAAGTTTATACTTAGGAATGGAGAGTAATGATTGAGTGGAGTGATAATTTTTAAAATTTTCTTGACTAAAAGGTGACTATGAAAAATAAAGTCATTGGCTAATATGTCCTGTATGCTTATAACTTTTTTCTGGGTGGATTTATCCCCAGAATACTGTCATTAGGGCCACACCTAAACACAGTGTTGGGCTAAATATAGTATGCGGACCTTCTTGAGACAGATGGAGCCAACCAAGAGCAGGAAAAAAGTCTCAGACAGTGGGACAGTGACTGCTACCAGCTGCTATTTCTTGTGTAGCTCTTCTGATTGGCCCTTTGTAGTCTGT